AACAATTGGTAGACAAGTAAATAAATTGGTAAAGTCATAGAGAATCTGAACAGCACTATTAATTATTTTGAGCTAAGTGATATTTACAGAACCCTGCACAAAACTGCTGAATACACATTCTTTTCTGGAGCACATGGTATGGTCACTAAACTAGACCATTTTCTGGGCCATTAAACAAGTATCAATAAATTTAAAGGATGTAAATCATGCACACAATGTTCTCTAACCACAACCAAATTATGCTGAAAATCAATAAAAATAAGATATCTAAGAGAATCCCAAATATTTGGAAATAAAAAGATATACTTCTAAATAATCCATAGGTGAAAGAAGAATTCTCAAGGAAAACTTAAAAACCGTACACTGAACTGAATTAAAATGAAGAGACAATGTATAAAAATTGGTGGGCTGCTCCAAAAGCATTGCTTAGAGGAATATTTATAATGGTGATAGGCTCAGTAATAGTCCTCCCAAATATGTCCATGTCTTAATCTCTGGAACCTGTGACTATCACCTCATATGACAAAATGGACTTTGCTGATGTGATGAAGTTAAGGATCTTGAATAAGGAGATTGTTTTGGGGCACAAAATGTAATCACAAGTGCCCTTATAAGAGGGAGGAAGGGTCTTCATTTTCATTTGAAAAGAGAAGCATTCAGGGGCACCTGTCTGGCTCAGTCGGTGGAGTGTGTGACTCTTGATCTCTGGGTTGTGAACTCAAGCCCCATGTTGGGTGTAGAGATTACTTAAAAAATAAAATAAAATCTTAAAAAAAAGAATTCCATTTACAGTAGTGCCAATAAGCATAAAATACTTAAGTGTAAGTTTAATAAAAGTGATGTAAGAGCTCTTCACCAGAAACTACAGAACATTGCTGAGAGCAGTTAGACAAGACTTAGATGAACACAGACGTATAACATGTCACGGACTGGAAGACTCAATCTTGCTACCATGTCAGTTTTCCCCAGATTGATCTGCAGAGTCAGTGTAATGCCCAACCAAATCCCAGTATACATTTCTGGTAGAAACTAAAAAGCTGATTCTAAAATGTATATGGAAATACAAATGATCTGGCATGGCCAAAGCAATTTTAAAAAGAAGAACAAAGTTGGATGTCTTACTCTACTTCATCATATGACTCGCTGTTAAGCTATAGAAAACAAGACAGTGTGGTATTAGCAAAAGGATAGACATATAAATTAATGAGAGAGACTGGAGAATCCAGAAGTAGACCCAAATACATATGGTCAATTGATTTTCGGGAGAGGAGCCGAGACAGTTCGGTAGAGAAATTACAGTCTCTTTAACAAATGGTACTGGGACAACTGGATATTCACATGACACAAATGATCATCAGTCTTTATCTCACATCGCTTCTCGGCCTTTTGGCTAGAATCAAGTGTAGTATCAGTCTTTATCTCACATCATACACAAAACTTAACTTGAAATGGACCAAAAAGTTAAATGCAAAAGCTTTAACTTAACAACTTGTAGAAGAAAATGTAGGAGAAAGTAATTGTAACTTTGGAGCTAGGCAGTGATTTCTTAGATAAGACTCAAAAAGCATGAATCATAAAAGAAAAAAGTTGATAAATCATATTTTATCAAAACTAGAAACTCTCATTTTTCAAAAAACATGAAGAAAGGGAAAGACAATTCCCAAAACAGGAGAAAATATTCTCAGTACACATATCTGACAAATGACTTGTATCTAGAACATACTAAATATTCTTACAACTCAATAATAAGACTACAACTTAATTTTTAAAGGGGGGCAATAGATTTATTTTTATTTATTTGAGAGAGAGAGTACATTGCAGGGGGAGGGGCAGAGGGAGAGGAAGAAGGAAGCAGACTCCCTGCCTGTCGCAAGCCTAGATCCCACGCCCCAAGATCATGATCTGAGCTGAAACCAAGAGTCAGACGCTTAACCGCCTGAGCAACCCAGGCTAAGTGGGTAATAGATATAAACAGACACTTCACAAAAAGTAGATATAGGAATGATTCATAAGGATATGATAAGATGACTGACATTATCATCAGGAAAATGCAAATTAAACCTTCAGGGAGACACCACTACACCCCCATGGGAATGGCTACAGTGAAAGAAATGGCCAATTCCAAGTACTGGTGAGGATATGGAGCAACCAGAACTCTCATAAATACTGGTGAGAGCATAAGGTGTACAACCACTCTGGAAAGTTACTTGGCACGTTCTTTAAAAGGTAAGGATTCACCTACTATACCACACAGCACATACCCAAGAAAAATGAAAACATGCCCATACAAGACTAGTACAGAGCAGTCTTGTTAACAATGGCTTCATATTAGAAACAACCCAGGCGCCTGGCTGGCTCAGTTGGTGGAGCATGTGACTCTTGATCCTGGGCCATGAGTTTAAGCCCCACGTTGGGTGTAGAGATTACTTAAAAATGAAATATTTTTTAAAAAAAGAAGAAAAGAAACAATCCAAGTGTCTGTCAAGAGGATAAGGAAAATGTAGTTATCCATATATATCACTCAGCAGTTTTAAAAAATGAACTACCAGGGAGCCTGGATGGCTCAGTCGTTTGAGCATCAGACTCTTGGTTTTGGCTCAGACTGTGACCTCAGAGTCCTGAGATCAAGCCCCGAGTCGGGCTCCATGTGCAGCAGGGAGTCTGCTTCTGTCTCTCTCCCTCCCTATGCCCCTCCAGTACCCTGCTTGTGCTCTCTCTCTTTCTCTCTCTCAATCTCTTAAAAAAAAAGGTGGGGGGGCACCTGGGTGGTTTAGTTGGTCTGCCTTCAGCTCAGGCCATGATCTCAGGTCCTTCGATGTACCAGGGTCAGATGTTCCCAGCATTTGTATTCTGCCAGCAAGTCCAAACTCTGTCTTTTAAACCAATCTCATCCCTTCCTGATCCTCTGAGCAACCAGATTCCTACAATCCAGATACCTAGGGGCCTTTTAAACTCTTAGCTGCTGGATTTTTAATAATCCTACTGAGATTTTTCACTACCGGAAGGACAGTGGGGACATCATAGCGTCTGAATAATTAGGGCCAGCGTCCTCCTGGTTGGTGCAGTGATAGAACCATCAGTCCCTGGCACCAAGCGTCCTGTGGCTGAGGCCAGCACAGGGAACTCTCCACATCCCCGTGCATCATTGATGGGGGATGGATAGTTCCCGGATCCCACGGTCTTCGATCTGAGAGGTTGGCCCCACCAAGTGCCCTCCCTGCTGGAGGATGACATTCAAAGAATGCCAGGACCAGAATTTGGGGCGGCTGATCTATTGCTCCTAGCAATACCCCATGCTAACCATCTGAAGACCTCAAACCTCACACCCTGAGTACTCTCTGCCTCCTGTGGAACACAGCAGAGGTTTTGCAGTTCATAGTTTTGGTCTCTAACAGGATAAATAAAGGATGGTGAGAAAAATAACAAGCCGTGGAGCCGAGAATCATTCCACTCACCAAAGATGAGGAAGCCTGGATACTAAGACTACTTGCTTTGAGCAGAGCCTCCAATAAACGGCTGAAGCTCCTTTCCCTCTGGTTAGATTCCTGCCTTGTCCCCAGGCCTGGCGGCTGCAGCTTCCCCATATTATCTCTTGGTCCCCAAATCCTAGCGAGTCAACATACATCTTCTCAGGCTAACATGCCATCTGATATGTGGGGGGTTCTGGGTGAGGCTTGTTCCTTGAATCTCCCAAGGACCCCACCTCCCTCCTCAACTTCCCATAGCGCTCCCCAGGCACTGAAGAACAATAGGCATGTGGAAAGAAATTAAGAGCTGGATTCCTTAATGCTGGGCAAATCTCCGATGCCTCCTTCTCTTAAACCCCAGTGCAGAAAATCCCGGGGCATGAGCCCTGAGTGACAACTAGACCAGAAAGCTAAGTGAGGTTTTTCTCACCTTCCTCCCCAGAATCTAATGGCTGGGCTGGTGAAGCCATAGGAGAACTATTTATCCAACCAGCCACACAACACGGATGGCTGGGAGCCCACTCCCCACTCCCTGCAGGTACAGACCAGAAGTAGGGCAGGATGAGGGACTGGGAAGAAGGGAAGGCAGGTGGGGTCTGGGCAAGAAAGAAGGAAGAGAAAATCACATGACTCCGTGGTGGGGAAGGGGAGGCCTTGAGGGCTTGGCAGTCCACAAGGGAGGGAGGGATGAGGAAGTCTGCAGCTTTTGAGGCTTAGTCCTCCTGCCCACAAGAAAAACACAGCCATCTGTCCCGTCGATCCCGGGTTCTAGACACCGGCCGAGGAACACGCCTGTGCTCAGTCTGATGACAGATGTGCCCAAGCTTCCCCTGGGAGTCCCAGTGGGGCCTGAAAGGTGCTGCGGTCTGAGGAAAATAACCAGATGGGAGAGCGGGAGCACAGTGAGCAAGCAGAAGGAGCAATGGAGGACTTGCTCCCTGAGATCCCAGAGGACAAGGCCATGGGCAAGGGAAGTCTGGCCTCCAGAGCCCAGGCGAGACCCTCGATGAACACAACAAAGACACGATGCATCAGTCCATATTTATTGAAGCAGTCTCTAGAGGACAAGATTGGGGAAGCCACATGGATCTGCAATACACTGTCCCCCACCCCACACCTCCAGATGATGAGGACGGTGAGACTCTTGGTCCCATGCTGGTTGATCTCCTTGACATATGGCAAGTTTCCTTGACCTGTTGCTGGCATCTGCTTTCTCTTTTCTATTCTCCCCCATCTCCACCGCCACTTTTTTTTCAAATCAACCACTGTTCCAACACCACCTTTAGAATTTCATAGGAGCTTCATCGGTCTCTCAGCGCACACTGACCCCAAAGAGCACCAGCAACTTGCCAAATGTTCCCCCCCACCCTTCTGCCATCGCATTAACCCCTCCCTCACTGGGCTCAGCTATAGAAACACCAAACTCCTCAACACCCGAATCCAAATTCTTTATTTTGCCCTCTTTTCCCGTCTAATAAGGTACCGCCATGTCTTTGTCCCACACACGTCCCTGCTCCCTGCCCTGCTTGGGGGTCATGGAGTCAGGGCCTCCATCACACTTTCATAGAACTTGGTGAACTTCTTCAACTTTCTCTCCATCTCCCGGGCCTGCCGCCTCAACTGTTCAGCTGACTCTGCCTTGGCCCCCTCTTGCAAGTGCCCTGACTCTTTCACAAGACTGAACACATCCATAGCAAGAAAGAGACCTGACAAGGACCCACGCATGATCAGGGCTCCTTTGGTCATTGTCAGAGCAGTGCCTTTAAAAGCTTTCTGGATCTGACTGGCACCTTCAGCTGAGACAGGTTTACCTCTCATGAGGAGATGGGCATTGACTATTAGCTGAGGCTTGACTTTGGCTACCTTCTTCACAGCCCAAACATTATTTGCAAGGTCTGGCAGGTCTTTAAGGCATTTACATGCTAAGGCAGAAATTTGGGGTTTGCTATAATTCAGAACCTTTGTAATTACGTCCTCTTCAATAAAGTCAGTTGATGTCAGGCAACTGGCTTCGGCTTTTGCAGACGACTCGCTTGAGTATTCCATGATGCTGGTGGCCACTTGGGTCACAGCAGATGCTGCTCCCAGCCCCGCACCAACAGCCGAGAGTGCCAGACTGGCTCCTGCTGTGAAAGGTGCCAGACCCAGACCAAGGTGGACAGGAGGCTAGATGCAGCGCCAGTGGAGCTGGCTACCATGTTGGAGATAGTGCAGTTCTTGTGAACCCTGTCAACCTTATCTGCAAGCTCGCAGAGTTTTCTTATGCGTTCCTCAAACTTGAATTTCAACTTGGGAAACTCACTCAAAAACCTCTCTCTAGCCAGCTGGTCTTCGGCCTCTTTATACATGGCCCTTTCCAGCTCGTTCAGATCTTCGCGTAGGGCATCTGCCTCCTCCCTGTAACAGTGAAGGTCAAGTGATTAAGAAAAGCTTATCTGTAAAGTGGGCTTCATTCGATCTATCCCACGTAAACCACAGAACGTTTACTATAAATCAAATGCAAAAGAATTTTACAAACGTAAAGAATTTTCCTTGAATGCAATCAACATGAGCAATGCTCCATAACACACAATCAGGAAACAAATAAGTCCATTTCATCTTATGATGCTCTTAAGTGCTGGGTATTTGATAAAGATGGCTTCCAAGTCAAGGACAGGTTCACACAGTCAGTACTACAGTGCTTGTAGACAGGGAACTCTGTAGATGAACAAAGGGAAGTGGGGTTGGAGCAGAAAAACCTTCATTCGGAGAATCTTCCTGTGTACTGAAGGATGAACCTTACCCACAGAGAGGTCTGCCCTTTGCCCGTAGCACTGGGAAATGATCTTTAGGCCCCCACCTAAGATGTCAAAGGTCTTAGAATGATAGGACTGTCTTCCTTTGCCTGGGCCTTTGGCCACTCACTGGACAGCCTGACAAGATGAGGGGGGCTTTGGGTCATGTGTTGTCAGTTCTGACAGGAAAGGAACTAGAAACTAACCTCCAGAGGGAGTTGAAGACGACAAGTCAGCCATGCAGGGAGCAGGTGATTGAGCCCCAATAAAACTCTGTACTCTGAGGACGGGGTTGAAAAAGACTCTCTCCTTGACCAAACGTTATTCGGGCTCTCTGACACTCCTCTTGACTAGGCCTTGACCTTGGTCTTCTGTGCTCTGTCCTTGGCAGCCTGTCATGCCCAGTCTTAGCAAGAACCCTGTTAGGTCAGCTTAGTGAGAATCCACACTCTCTTGATATCTAATCACCTTTGACATCTGATCAAATCCCACCTTTGTTGCAGAAGTCCTTGCCTGCCTTCAGGAAGAACACTATTGGGTCAGGTTAGCAAGAATCCCCCACCTTGATGTCTCCTCTTAGTGATTTCCCATGCCCTGCCCCCAACCTGCTCCTTGGCTATAAATCCCTAGCTGTCTCCGCTGTATTCCCAGGTGAGCCCGATCTCTCTCCCCGATGACATCACTCTTGACGCCTAGGGCATGAATTAAGTCTTCTTTACGATATTAGTAAGTGTCGCAATAATTGTTTACTTTCACAGTGTGAACTTCCCTGGTGGGCAATGCTCCACATCATTGGCACACACTGAGTACAGGACAGTAAGGCCTCCCAAGGCAACGAAGCTTTGCGCTGGAAACCCTCCCAGACTCTGCCCCAAGTGTCTCTCTCTTTGGCTGATGGGAACCTGTATCCTTCCCTGTATCACAGGGTGACTGAGAGTGACAGCTCTGAGTGAGCTCTATGAGTGCTTCCAGGGCATCATCCAATCTCAGGGTGGTTTGGGGACCCCCCCCCACTTTGCAGTTGGTGCCAAAAGTAAGGGCAGTCTTAGGGGTTGTGTTCTCAGACTTTGCAGTTTGGTTAACTCTGGGTACTTGGAATTTAAGAAAACAAAACCTCAGAGCGAGAAGGGACCTTAATGATCATTTTGCTTGGCACCTGCTCTCTCTCCCAAGCCCCGTGTCCTCTCCTGGGGACCAGGCCCTGCCCCAACTGACTGAGAAGCAGGATACCCACCACCCTGGTTCCCCTCAGACTCTCCAGCTCACACCATGGACTCCTGACCCACCACCCAGCACCCCCTCCCACACAGGTATCACCCGCCTAAATCACACCTTAGCTGGTGACAGCTTTGTATGCATGTACACCAAGGCCATGTGCAACTCTATGACATCTCTTAAAGATGCAAGAGACTTTGACAACCTTCTATCTGAATCACTAAGCCGGAAAAGACCTGCATTTGGGCAAGCTGGTGCAGGAAGTACTTTCCTCTTTGGTGGGGACTTCTCAGGCTCAGAATCCCCCAAAGAGTACAGAATCGGCAGCTTCCCCCTGTGGAGCTGGAAGTTGTCACAAAGCCACACTGCCTCCTATTGGTCTGGGGCTGCTCTAGGGAGAAGAGAAGAGGCTTCCAAATGGTCGTCACGACCCCCCAGCTCCAAGGCAAGGTATGGAAGAAACAACCCCCATGGCCCCTGATGCCCAGAGGTGAGGAGATCAAAGAAGGGAGGGAAGAAATGTGCCCTCTCCCTCTCACAGGACCTCTGCTAGGTCCCTGGTCTCCTCAAGTTTTGTGCTCTAGAGCTTCACTCAGTTCCAGCCCTGCTGCCCAAGCCTACCTAGTCCCCCAACCTAGACCCCACAACCCCTTGTCCATCCTGACCACCAACTCTGGCCCTGGTCCAAGCCTCCTGGGCCTTTGGACAGGATGACTGCCCTTGGTTCCTCACCTTTGACCTCACAATTCACACAAAGTCCTTCGCCACAATCTTATCAGATTGGATTAGTGTGTCCATTGAACAAATGACAAACCTGAGACTCCAAGACATCCAGAGCCAGAGAGCCCCAAGGCTGGGCAGAGATAGAGTCAGGATCCAACCCAGCTTGGTCCAATTCCACTCTAGCCTCTCTGCCTCATGGGTCAGCTGAATCCTGCATGTTCATATAACTCCTTAGATGGGAGGGAAGACTCTAGTCCCAATCCCCAGGGGCACAGACTGAGGTGTCAGTGTTCTTCTGACTTGTCCCAGAGGAAGTCCTGCTTGGTCCTCATCTCTAGGAAGAAGACCCTTGGCCCCTGTCTCTTCTCGGCAATCTTCTAAAAAGTTAACATTAATTGAGACCCTACTATGTGTCAGTCACTATGCTAAGCACTTTACATGCATTATCTTCATTTTCTCATGACAAAATTGAACAGATGAAGAGACCAAGGCAGAGACAGCTCCGCTCTATGTAAAGGACCGAGGTCACTCTGCAGGTTTCACCTTGTCTCAATCCGAGGCCATTCACTGCCAGTGAATGTCATGGAAGACATATTCCTCATGGATTGTTGAGAAGGAACATACTGAACCTCAACCCCATGATACTGCCCAGAAGACACCTGGGTGACCATCCTGGGGCGTCCCAGGGGAGTTACCTGGACAATGTGGCCTCAGCTATGAATCCCTTCCAGGCTTCATGGTCACTCAGCTGGATGTGCAGTATGTTTAGGCTCACTGTGTTCTGGGAATACACAATGGCGAAAACTTCTGTTTTCTAGAGAAAACTTCTGTTCTCTAGATGGAAAGAAAAAAATGAAGGGTTGTTTAGTTTTCCCTTTTTCCTGCTTCACTAAGGGGTAGAGGAAATGAGGGCTTAGCTTGAGGGAACCCACATTGCTAAGTCTGTGTATTTATGGATTGCTGGGGGGCGGGAAAATACTGAGAGCATAGGCAGGGTTATTGAGAACAATAGAATCAATTCCTACCCCACTTTCATGCCTCATAAGCAGGTGCTTATACTTGGGACATAGGACAAATGCCCTAACATAGCCGTAGGGAGCCGGGGGATGCTGGGGGAAGGGAGGATTCCACTTGGAACTAAGAGGTTCCAGGCAAAGGGGACAGCAACAAAATTTAGAGAGGATATACTGTGTAGCAGACCCTGGCCCAAACCACATAAACACATTATATTTGATCCTCATAACCACATAGGGAAATATTCTCATTTTACAGGTAAGGTTAGGTAAGGCACTCCAGGTCACACAGGTGGGAGGTGGCAGAGGCCAGACTGGGGTCCAGGTCAGTGGCCCACTGACCATCACAGAGCAGTCAGGCTGGCAACAGGGTGAGAACTGGAGGGAACGGCCTCTGCCGTGAAGCTCCACAGTCATCCTTAGCCATGCTGGAGGCTTGGACAGGGCAAGAGGGCAGGAGAAGCCTCCAAGGTTGCTGGTCTACCTCCTCCCCCTGCCCTGCCTCAGGACCCCTTTCTTCCCTCCTTTCCCCTCTGCTGTCCCCCACCTCCCAGTGGGCTCTCCCGGCCTCACTTCTGGGTCATTTGATGGATTTGATGGGCGGCAGGGGGAGGGAGGAAGTGAGCATCTCAGCCATGACCCTGAGAAGACAGGAGGGAGGTGTCCCTACAGACCCCTGGGCTGGGGACTCCCTTTGACCCCCGCTTAGGGGCTCAAGGAAGCTCTTCAAGGGACTGATTCCTCTTAGGATAACTCAGCTGGAGGCATCCCCACAATTCCAGGAATCATCCAGAGAAGTGGAAGTTGACTACCTGGGCAGAGCTCACGGGCTCCTGAGGACATGGTGCCAGCAGTGGGATCTGAGAGTTTTCGCAACAGCTCGCGTCTGCGTCCCGGCTAGAAGGCGGTGTTGCTTCACCCCTGGGGAAGAGAGAACAAATCGTGGGGTCAAATGGGAGCCAGCTGTGGCAGCAGGAAGCAGCGAGGGGCCGGGTCTCTGGTGGTTCCCTCCGGGATGGCTACCAATGCCAAAGTAGACTTTACCTGACGTGTTTGTCTGTCTACCTACTTCTGCCAGCCGCTCTTTAAGGAAAGTTACTCACCTCACTCCAGCTCACTCCCAAGCCAAGTCCGGGTCCTGTCGTCCTGCTGGGCCACAAGAAGAAGATAATCAGTCAGGGAGACTGCCATCTGAGAAGTTATAGAAGCAATGAAACCAAACACAGAAGAAAACATGGGGAGAAGTGTTCTGGAAATTTTGGAGGTCAGAAACATGTGTGTTTGCTAATTGATAAGAGCTAATATTGATCAAGTATCTATGACAGGCAGGGCTCCTTATGTGTTCCCTCCCTGAATATCCACACACACCCCATGAGGTCGGTGCTCTTGTGGCTCCCACGTTAAGGTGGAGGAAACCATCACCTGAACTTAGGTTAGTCCAAGTTTTCACAATAGTGCTAGAGCCTGGATGTGAACCTGGGTGTCTCTGATCCAAAGCCCATGTTTGTGATGACTGTGCTCTACTCCCTTTAACATACATAAACATTTATTCATGTACAGTTGACCTTTGAACAACACAGGGGTTAGGGGTGATGACCCCCAATCCCCGTGCAGTCGGATTTATGCATAACTTCTCACTTTCCCAAAACTTAACTACTTAGAGCCTTCTCTTGACTGGAAGCCTTACTGATAACATAAACTGCTGATCAACACATAGTTTGTATGTTATATGTATTATGTACTGTATTCTTGCAACAGAGTAAGCTAGAGAAAATGTTAAGAAAATCACAAGGAAAGGAAAGTACATATACAGTACTGTACATATAGTTAATGAAAAAATCTGCATAGAAGTAGATCTGTGTTGTTCAAACCTATGTTTTTCAAGGGACAACTGTATATGTGTTTATTTGTAAATGACTCTTCTCATTCCACAATGACGTCTTACATCATGAACGAGGCTTTGTCTGGATCAATTTCCTGGGGCCACAGCTTCCCAAAGCCTGTGTCCTCCTTGCTTCTGCAAGATACTTCGTCCCACAGAACTTGGGGTCCTGCTAGGTCCTGGCTCAATCCCTACAGCCCTACTATGCATTGTCAAGCCTTCCCGATAGTGCCCAGTCCTCTCTGCTGTCCTCCCCCAACTTTGAACTTTAGACTGCTTCCAATTCTTCATCTAAAGGATAGTGCAAAGAACAATCTCCTTGTATAAAACTTTGCATTTTGCATTTGAGATTGTTTCCTTAAGACATTTCTACAAGCAGGATGACTGGGTCAGAAGGTATCAACACGTACAAAGTTTTTCATACCTAGAGCCACACTGTTATGAAAAAAATCATACAATTCACATTCACACTCACAGTAGATGAGGGTGTCCACTGTTCCATTCATACCAGTTCCTCGTAGTCTTTTTTAGAAAACAGACCCTTATATAGAGAGAATTTATTTTAGTTCTGTTATTATTTTGCCTCGGGAAATGAGGAAAGACAGCAAATATTGATTAAGTTTAAGCATTCATATTTTAAGTTTACTTCTTTTTTTTAGTAATCTCTACACCCAATTTGGGACTCGAACTCACAACCCCAAGGTCAAGAGTCCCATGCTTTTCCAAAGGAGCCAGCCAGGTGCCCCTAGGCACTATTTGAAGAAGCCAAAAGAGCATTTATCAACTACCCATCCTGAGACCTGACTGAAATGATAGTAAAGGTACTGGTAGGTATAAAAATAACTAATGATAAGAGTGACTCATATTTATAGCCTATGCACTGCATTGGTGATTGCTCTAAGGCTTTACAAATAATGACCTGTCTTCTTCAAATAATCATTGAGTTGGGTATCATTTGCATCCCTATTTACAGATAAGGAAACTAAAGCACAGACTACATGATTTTCCCCTTACTAGAAATCTACTAAGGGGTAGACTGGGTTCAAACCTGCGTGCTGGACTCAAGAACCCACACACTGCCTCTCCTCCTTCTGCTATCAATTTAAAAGGAGAACGGGGCCAACAGGAGTCCAGAGGCTTAGACAAATGTTTGAATGCAAATTGGATGGAGAATTGATAGCTGAATAAAGAAGACAAGAAGGAGGTGCCTTCAGAAAAACAGAGAGAGGACAAACAGGCAAGAAGAATGGTCTGCTAGGCAGAGCTTCAGAGAGGGAGACCAGAGATGAGAGGAAGGTAGAGGGGAAGCAGGAATAAGGTTACCAACCCCACACCGATCCTATATTCTCAGCAGCCTAAGTCTATACCAGAAGGGGAAAAGCATAATTGAAAGACTCTGGCATCTAGGGGGTCCTATTCCAATCACTCTACAGGGAAGCCTGTCAGTCAAATTACCTCTCTCTTAAATACTAATGGGCAATCTAGGATCAGATATATAAGAAAGATGACCAGATGGAAAGGGTGGCTAAGATAAATAAAAAATGACACCAGAAGTGGTGCCTGGCTGGCTCAGTCGGTAGAGCCTGCAACTCTTGATCTCAAGGTCATGAGTTCAAGACCCATGTTGGGCATAGAGCTTACATTATAAAAAAGCCACAATAACAAAAATCAACTGGACTTAATAAACCTTCAAAACAATGCTACCAGAAGAAACATGTAATTTTGATTATGGAGAATATTGTTTTAAACCTTGAACCAATGTCCTCAGGAAGGTTAGAAAGCTGTTTTCTTCATAAAATGAGAACGGGATGCACCGAAAAGGGAAAAAAGTAATGGGACAAAAAAGAAATCTTGGGAATTAAAAAGAAGTCTCAGGAAAGGTTGGAAAAGTCAACGAAAACATCCAGAAAATAAAACAAAAAGGTGACAGAAGAAATGAAACTAAATGAGGAATGACAAGTTACCAAGGCTATCAATTCCTAGAAAATTACTTTAGAAAGAGCTGCAGAAAAGAAAAAAAAAAATAGTTTGTGTGTCTATAGGGTGAGGTGGAGGATAATAACCAAGAAACCAAGAGACAGAAAGATATGAGGTCCAGGAGACAGGAAAATTAACATAGACAGAAAGGAATCCAAGGAATACAGCTGGGCATACGGAAGGCCGAGAGAGCAACCAGCCCAGGATAGAATAAGAAGTGAAGAGTTCTATGGGCAAAGGGGACTTGACATAATACTTATGTAATGCACAGTTCAAAAGAATTGAGGAAATGTTGAAGGCAACCTTGCAAGGGGTAAAAACATAGGCAATTAGAAAATCAGGAAAAACTAAAGTTGTACAAGAAAACATGTGCAACTGTATTTCACAAGTTAGCTCTACAGTAACCAATACTGAAAACATCACACATGTGTAAACATTCTTGTTTGATTTTTAACTTCTAGAACAAAACACACCATTTAAATATGAGAACTAAATGCATTTGTATGTAAATATCTAAATTAAAGTACAATGAGAGAAGTTGGGAGGTGAAGCATTGAAGAGAGGAGGAGGATTAATATCCTCATTTTACAAAGTGAGGAGTCCAAAAATACTGGCTGCAATGGAGAGGCTAGGAAGTGCAGATGGAAGAAAAAAAGAAAAAAGAAACAAAGGTGTAAGTAAATTGCTTACGACTAGAAAGGTTTCTAATTGAGGACATAAAATCAGTGATAGCATAATATTAGGAGAAGGTGGGGAGGTGTATAAGAAATAGTATAAAAATAAGTGAAATCATTATCTGTCTTGGTAAGAAATAAATAACTCATATCAAAATTTAAAAATCAAGAGAAAGAACATTGGGGTGCATGTGCCCCTTCTTTTAACTACATCTGTATCTTTGAGGTAAATACCCAGTAGTGCAATTGCTGGGTCATAGGGTAGATCTCTTTTTAACTATTTGAGGAACCTCCATACTGCTTTCCATAGTGGCTGTACCAGCTTGCATTCCCACCAGCAGTGTAAGAGGGTTCCCTTTCTCCGCATCCTCACCAACATTTGTTGTTTCTTGCCTTGTCAATTTTTGCCATTCCAACTGGTGTAAGGTGGTATCTCATGTGGTCTTGATTTGAATTTCCCTGATGGCTAATGATGTTGAACATTTTTTCATGTGTCTCTTAGCCATTCGTATGTCTTCTTTGGAGAAGTGTCTGTTCATGTCTTCTGCCCATTTTTTGACTTGATTATTTGTTTTTGGGTTGTTGAGTTTGAGAAGTTCTTTATAGATCTTGGATACCAGCCCATTCTCTGTAGTGTCATTTGCAAGTATCTTCTCCCATTTCGTGGGCTGCCTCTTTGTTTGGTTGATTGTTTCCTTTGCTGTGCAGAAGCTTTTTATCTTGATGAAGTCCCAAAAGTTCATTTTTGCTTCTGTTTCCCTTGCCTTTGGAGACGTGTCTTGAAAGAAGTTGCTGTGGCTGATGTCGAAGAGGTTACTGCCTATGTTTTCCTCTAGGATTTTGATGGATTCCTGCCTCACATTGCTGTCTTTCATCCATTTAGAGTTTATCTTTGTGTATGTTGTAAGAGAATGGTCGAGTTTCATTCTTCTGTATATAGCTGTCCAATTTTCCCAGCACCATTTATTGAAGAGACTGTCTTTTTTCCATTGGATATTTTTTCCTGCTTTGTCGAAGATTAGTTGTCCATAGAGTTGAGGGTCCATATCTGGGCTCTCTATTCTGTTCCATTGGTCTATATGTCTGTTTTTGTGCCAGTACCATGCTGTCTTGGTGATCACAGCTTTGTAACATAGCTTGAAATCAGGCAACATGATGCCCCCAGCTTTGTTTTACTTTTTCAACATTTCCTTGGTGATTCAGGGTCTTCTCTGGTTCCATACAAATTGTAGGATTGTTTGTTCCAGCTCTGTGAAAAATGCCATTGGTATTTTGATCAGGGTGGCATTGAAAGTATAGATTGCTCTGGGCAGCATAGACAGTTTAGCAATGCTTATTCTTCCGATCCATGAGCATGGAATGTTTTTCCATCTTTTTGTGTCTTCTTC